ATGCTTTCAATGGAGTTTTTAATCTCCTGAATATCTGTTTGAATCTGTTTCATGGATTCCATTTCTTTCTTATGTTGGGCGATCATGGTTTCCATTTCTTTCTTATGCTGGGCATTCCTTGCCTCCAGCATGTTTCTGAGCTCATCTATTTTTTTTTTAATTAGTTTCTGTTCTAGAGCCTCTAATCATGTCTTTCACTCTGCTCACCATCTCTGTAGTTATCTGGGAGATTATTTCTGCTTTGAATTTTCCAGAGCCTCGTTCATCTGTTTTTGTTTTTTTTTCCAAGAGTAAGTTATTTAATTTCCATGTATTTGTATGGTTCTGAAGGTTTTTCCTGTCATTGATTTCTGTTCTTTTGCATTGTGGTTAGAGAAAGATACTCCATATGATTTCATTTTTTAAAAAATTGTTGACTTGTTTTGTGGCCTATCATATGATTTATCCTAGAAAATGTTCTGTGCTCTGTTGAAGCAAATATATATTCTGCAATTGTTGAATAAAATGGTCTGTAGATCTAGAGTGCTGTGTAATTTCTTCATTTCTTTGTTGATTTTCTGAGTGGATTATCTGTCCATTGCCAAAAGTAGTATTAAAATCTAAAACTATCATTGTACTGGAGTCTACTTTGTCTTTAGATCTACTATTTGCATTATATTTTTAGGTGCTCCATTATTGGGAATAGTTGTATTTTCTCTCACTAAATTGATGCTTTGAGGATCTTCTCTTTATCTTTAATCTTTAAGAACTCCTGGGCCAGGGATTTAGCTCAGTGGTTCCGGTGCCTGCCTTACAAGCACAAGGTCCCACGTTCAATCCCTGCAGCCTGGCTCTGTTTCTCTAGCTCTGTGTTCTCTTTCCTGTACCCCTTCCTGTCCTCCCTACAGGAGACCCAGTCACTCCCCTTCTGCACCTCATTCGTCTGTTTTGTTACTTCCTGTGCTATCAGTTCAGAGTGTCCAGGTGGTTGATTAGCAGACTTTTGCACCTCATTTCCCCCAGAAATTGCCTTTTGTGGGGTGGAAGTCTGGGTTTGTGACTTGCTTAAATGCCTTCTCATTTTTGTTTTTGATACTGTCCCTGGTTTAGTTCCTGGGTTGATATTATGAAGTTGTTTATTGTAAGTATCTTTGTTGATCTATTTAAAACCCTTATGGAGTGATTGCTTCTCAGAGGTGTCTACCAGGTATAGCTGGTCTTTACGTTTTGAGTCTCTAATGACTCTGAGGCTATCTCATTTTCATTATACCAGGAAGGAAAACTGTTTAGATCAATCACAACACCTTAGCCCAAGTCATACAATCAGCAACACCATAGCATCAAATACCTCTTAAAGAATGACAATTTGTGGTAGTTATTAATCTATCACCTTTAAAAAATAAAGGGCCTGCTTCAAGGTGTGTCTCTGCTGTCACAATAGACAACATGGGCAGCAGTGTGCAGTTATAAGTCAGTGAGTCTCAGTAAGCTAGTCCCAGACCCATGAGATTCAGGCAGATTTCTGGTTGCAAGTCCCAAGTTGAGCTCCCTGTCCTCCTGCAGAGTTGCACTCCGCAAGTTTCTACTGCAGGTTTCAGCTGCTTTTCCCCTGAAGAAAGTCCAGCTTCCAATGGGAGCTGATAATCCCTCTAATTTGCCAATCACAGTTGTCTGGTGTGCCTCTATTCCGGAGATTCCCTTCACTTTTCCAGTGGGCTTGTTTTCATCAGGGAGCCTGAGACAGGCACTGTCTCTGTTGTTCACTTCTGGAGCTCAGGACAATAGCTTTTGTCCCCCTGTGCCTCTGCAGTGTGTAACCAAGTAGCTGCACAGCCAGAAGGCCAGAGGCGGGGTGGGGGGCGGTATTGTTAGAGGCGCCCGTGCGGCCAAGCTGTCAGCTGGTGGGCCTGCCCAGGGGGGTCCTCCTCACCCTGTCCTGGTGGCTGGTGGAAAGCTGGTGGAGCAAGCTGGAGCAAAAAAAAGTACTTTCTTTATAAATGATCTTTTTTTTGGTACCGGGTATCGAACTCGGGTCCTTGCGCTTGTGCAGCAGGCGGCGAACCCACTCCAGCTAAATCCCCAGCTATAAATGATCTTAATGTATTAAGAACCATGAGAGGTCTGAGATATTTTTACCAACATGCTAACAGGTTAGTCTGCCCCAGTTGTATAGATATTGGCAGAAGAGATGAGACTCTTGGGTTAGAGACAGAGGAGTGCTTACCACTTACTGTGGTAGTAGTAGCCAGGTTATTGATTTGCAGTCAGTTCTTGGAGGTGGGTTGAAGAGGTAAGGGTGACAGGTATACATGACATGAGTCATATATAGAAGAAGAGTCCTGAATTTAGGGAAGCTGACTCTTGTAAAAGACAGTAAGTGTGTTTGTCCATTACCCTATAAACATAGATGATGTTATAGCAAACAGTACACAAACCTACTACCCTTAATGGAGAAGAAGACAGTATATATGCCAAGGTTGTGCACCGTACAGACATTCTTGAAAGATTATAACTTGGAATAAAGGTGATGAAGGCCACTGTTCAGATGAGACCAGGCACGTTCAGGCTGGTATGGCCCTAGACAGGGCCACTGTTGAGAAATCCAGAGATATACAGGGTCATGGATGAAAAGTTTTGTGTTTTGTGTTTTGTTTTTGTTTTGGATTTGGCTTTTTTTTGTTTGTTTGTTTTGGAATTTTGCGGGGGGGGTGTGTGTGTGTGTGCCTGGCCTCAAACTTGGGTCCTTGTGCAGCAGGCAGTGAAACCACTGCGCTAAATCCCCTGGCCCCGACCTTTTTTTTTATTAGTATCACTTTAGAATTTTTTATTTCCATGGACTAACATTCAGATGGCACGAAGGGTTGGTTTAAAGTGAAATTTGGTCTCCTTTTCACCTCAGCTTCCAGTCTTTTTTTTTTTTTTTTTTTGGTGTTACCTGGGATAGAACTCAGGACCTTGCATGCTTGCAAGGCAGCCGCAGCGCCACTGAGCCAAATCCCCAGCTCCATCCAGTCTTCTCTCTTGAAGAGTACTATTCTCTTGTTAGTAATGTTTCACAAATATTTTAAGGATATAAACAGTAATGTACTTTGGTATTTCATTATCTTAATTTCCCTTTTTGGAGATATTTCCCTATGAGTGCATATAATATGATGCATTGTTAATATTTTTATAATATTTCCAACTTTCTACTTGTACAGTGTTTTTGGTCAGCATCTCTGGGAGACAGTGACAAGGTGAATTTTTGATGATAGTTACAGCTTTTCAGATTACATGTAATTTTGTGTAAATTTTGCAGGTGAATATGAGAAGGGTGTGGACCATCTGACAAATGCAATTGCTGTGTGTGGACAGCCACAGCAGTTGCTGCAGGTGTTACAGCAAACTCTTCCACCACCAGTGTTCCAGATGCTTCTCACTAAACTCCCAACAATTAGTCAGGTAAGGAATTGAAGTGTTATGAAATACAAAGTGAGTAGGACCTAAAAATTGAATGTTTAGGGATATTTATACATGAGCCTAGTGAACATAGAATGCTGGATATACCAGTGCTTGAAATTTTCTGTTAATGGTGTAACATCTAAATAATTGGGTGTAAGCAGGGCATAGTGGCACACACCTGTAATCTCAGTACTAAGGTTGAAGCAGGAGGATCATGGTGAGTGTGAGGTGAGTTCAAGACCAGCTTGATCTATATATGTAACAAGACCCTGTCTCAAAAAAAAACAAAACAAAATCCTGGGCATAATACCTGGTGCTGGGTTATGTATAAAGAGGTTCATTTGGCTAATTATGGTGGCTGGAAAGTCCAAAAGCATGGTGCTAGTATCTGAGCAAGGTCCCATGGTTGCATCAGGACATGGCACAACAGTGGGAAGGGAACTGGCTATATGCACAAGGGACATTCGTGCCAGTGAGGAAGCAAGGGAGCAGGGATGTGCCAGGGTAGCTGCTGCTTCAGCTAGTTGGGTCCTTTGACAACTGGTGGAGTGTGTGGTACTTGAGATGGAACCCAAGGGTGCTCAGCTGCTAAACTACATCCCCAACCCTTTTAATTTTTTTTGTAAGTTGCCCAACCTGGCTATCCCTGCCTTAGCTTCCTGAGTAGCTAGGAATTGGAAGTGCACCAGCAGGCCCAATTTGCAAGAACTGTCTTAATCCCTTTGGAGGATAGTACCCCTGTGACCTCTTAAAGATCAACCACTTCTCAGTAATGCCACAGTGGGGACTGAATTTCCATCACATAAGCCTTTGAGGGACAAACCATAGCAGCAGCCTAACAGTGCTTTTTGGAAAGTGTTCTGTTCTGAAATGTGTGAGATCAGGATAAAGCCTAAATGCCTCTCTATGAAAACAGCCTCCTTTAGTTCAGTTGGTTTTATTTACATTCTATAGAAGTGTTTTGAGAATGCTAATTTCAGAACATAATATTCCTAGCCTGGCATATTGGCATACACCATGATGTAGTTCCAGGTATTTGTGAAATTGAGGCAGGAGGATTGCAAGTTTAAGGCAGGCTGGGCTACTTAGTAAGACTCACTCTCAGCAAACAGGCTGGGGATAAAGCTCAATGATAGACTATTTGCCTAGCATGCTTAAGCCCCTGGGTTCGGTTCCCAGCACTGCAAAAAAGAAAAAAAGAATATTGTATCATGTTCCTTCTTTAATGGCTTTGAGCCAAAAGGGGAAATGGTAGAGCATAGAAGATTGGTAAAAACACTAATTGCTGTTATTAGTTTTTGTGGGAGTGATAAATTTTAAGTTCTTTTTAAGTTACGTAGTTATATGTAGCATAATAAAATGTTATGCTTCCTTAATTTGAATTTTCATATGGGACTGGTAGTATGGTCATTTTTTTAGGTAATAATGTATAAAGTGTTAATGTTTAAATGTCAGAATGGATGAACTTTGGCAAGATTTGATTCTTTGAATACAAGAGTTTTTTGTTCAACTTTGATGATTAATGCTTTATCATACTTAAATCTTTTTTTATTTTTTCAGAGAATTGTAAGTGCTCAGAGCTTGGCTGAAGATGATGTGGAATGAAAAACAAATCTGAACATAATAAAATTTCAAAAAGATTTTAAAAATTCTTAGCTTAGAAGTTGAACAGCTGTGGGGGAATAAGGGCAAATGTGATTGTTTATGGACTGTCCTACACTGAAATCTACCAAAGTTAACGTTTACTTTGTGTAGATCCATTTGTCTTTTTATTTATTTTTCCCAGTGAAAAGTGTATTTTAATAGAGAGCCTTTCATTTTATAAAAACACTAAGTTACCAAAATACAGATTTTGTTTATTCCTTAAACCTACAGTTAAAATGTACATACAACATTAAAAAACCCAGTGCTTAGTTTTAAAAGATAACAAAAGGGCTGGAATTGTAGCTGAGTGTAGAGCACTTGTCTAATGTCTATGAGGCCTTAGGTTTGACCCCAGCACCATGAAAAAGGAAAACAGTGAAAAAGTGTAGTAGAGTGGTGAACGTACATTTTTAAAGCTAGCACATTTTCTTATTGAGAGTTAGATATTGATTGTGTTTTTGAATAGTGTTAAAATGAGAGATCCTTTCTTTCCATTTACTCTTAAAAGATATATGGTGTGCTGCAGTGCTGTACTAATGGCTCCACCTCTTCACTCTTTATCAGTCTTGAGCTATTTTATTTAAATCACCGTACTTAATGTTTCTGGGTATTTATTTCCTTGTATTTTAAGTATAACTACAAATAGTACTGGGAATTAGATAACATGTACCTAATCTCCCCATATGACCTTCACTAGTTAATGTCTGCTCACTCTCCTCATTTATAAAACCAGGGAAATCACTGATGATTTTTGACATGTCTCTTTCAGCTTCCCATTCTTTTGCTTCTGTTCAGCATCTTCAAATTTACCTTCGCCTGAGGAATGTATTTGGGCAACCCAGACTTGGAGTTTTTTAATGTTCTGAATTTTGCATGCTTGCCTGACTTAGTATTTCTGAATTGATCTTTTGATTTTCACTGGAATTAGACAGTTCTGTGACTATGTAAATTTGAAAATTTACCTTTAAGGTAGCTGGATCATCTGCCTATAAAAATGTTTGTCCCCTTTTTGCTTTCATCTTCTGTATATTTCTGATTGATTAATGTATCTCATACAATGACAGTGGGATATAATACTAACTAAAGACTTGAATAGAGTTTGTGGGATCTTTTACTCTCACAGTGAGTGAGTATTATCTGCCATTTCATAATTGAGTCAGTTTCAGAATTGAGAATAAAGATCTTTGGTACTTAAAGGCATCTGTTGGACTAAGCAGCGTTTCTTATTGTATGGATGGCCTGCATGCTAAGAATCTGTGGAGATGGCCGGGGATTCAACTCAGTGGTTCCGCCGCCTGCCTTGCAAGTGCAAGGTCCTGAGTTCAATCCCTGGTACCAAAAAAAAAGAATCTGTTGGAGAGATCTCAGAAAGTTTTCCCATATGCTAGACTTTATTTTGGCTTACAGAACACCCCCTCTCTCCCTGTAACAGGGATTGAACTCAGGACCTTGCACTTGCAAGGCAGACCTGGTGCCACTGAGCTAAAATCCCCAGCCCACAAACTTTTGTTTTTTGAGACAAGAGTCTTGCTGTGTAGTTCAGGTTGGCTTGAGCTCACTGTGTAGCACAGGCTGGCCTTGAACTTGCAGTGATCCTCTTGCCTCAGCCATGTACTACCACGCCCAACCAGACTTTTTTTTTTCTCCTTGAGACACAGTCTTGCAGTGTAGTCCAGGATGGTCCTGAACTCAGTATGTGGTCCAGGCTGACCTCAAACTCAGAGCAATCTTGCCACAGCCTCCTGAATGCTGGGATTACAGGCATTTGCCACCATGCCCAACAGTCTTCTTATTTTTAACCTTGGGTTAGTTGTGGTATGGTGGGAAGTGTTTGGACTGTGGTTCTAATTTTTGCCTCTGGTTAGCTACATATCCTTGGGTGAGTACCCTCACTTGAATTTAGTATCAAGTATTCGTTCTCATAAAAATTAGAACATCAAACTAGGAGATGCACCTTTGAGGCCTCTGCCTTAGGTACTTTCCAGGTTTGTGATCCTGAGTCTTTAAACTGGTTTCCTCCTGACAGTGTGGTTTTGGTGGGGATGGCTAGCACAGACAGGCTGCCTATCCATTTTCACTAATGGGATCCTGGATGCAAAGTGGTGTGGAGAGGTTTGGTCGGAGATTAGCCACACAGCCAGGCAGTCCTCCACCAGCCCATACCTGGAAAGAGGGCAGGCAGAGGGAGAACAGATGGTGGGAAAGGAGGCTGGAGGGGACAGGCAGCTTAGATGTGAGAGAGTGGGAAGACTGCCCTTGAAAAGAGTAAGGCTCAGGTGCCTCCATTTTATAGCCAATGAGTTGTTTTCTTATTAAGTACTGTTTTTGGAAACTAGCTTTGTTCAGTTATAAGCAAAACAGTCGTTTACCCCCACCCAGAAACTTACCAAACACTGTATTCCCATGTGCTAATGTTGCATACTTGTGTGAAATCTTTGGAAATGGAACAGATGGATTAGAGCACATTGAATACTACTTTGGCAAAGATCTGTTGCTCAGTTCCACACTTTGTACTTAAAGAACATCTAAATAGGCCTGCCTGGAAGTAGTGATGTTAGTCTATGAATAGATAACTAGAACTGCATTCATACTTAATTTATGTAAAGTAAGTAAAAGTTAATGCAGTGTGCCTAGTGGGCAGGCAGTAAATAATTCTTACTCCTTGGTAAGTTTGATTTTTACCAACTTCTACCTGCCTTTATGACATTGTTCAATCAGCCTGTAGACAGGAGTATTAATGAAATGTTATTGCAGAAGAAAAATTATGGAGAAATTGGTGCCCCATACAGATAACATCCAAATTCTCTGCCTTGCACAAAAATGAAGTTTTGTTTCTGCCTTTTGCCTCTGCTGCTTGAGTATTAAAGGGCTCGGAGAAAAGTTTGGTTTGGTGTATATTTGCACAAATGAACTCTTGAGTTGGATAGCTTAGAAATAAGAAGCACACCTAGCTGTTTTTGGGTTAACATCCCTTTGAGAGTATTGGGAGCCATGTAGGTTCTCCTGCAGGACAAAGCAATTAACCTGTGGGGGGAGGGGTGGAGCGAGGAGTCTTCAGACTCTAGGTTGAGAAGCCCTGCCTTATGGTCAGCCTTTTAGTGATTGTGTATAGGGTGAGGACCCAGTCTTGGCCTATCAGAATCACTTGGAGGTCTTGTTGAAGTAGATTACTGGCCAGCATGCACCTCTTTGCAGCAGGGTCTCAAGATGGTCATGCTGGTGGTCTGGGATCACATGAAAGCACAGTGGTGGTGTGGGAAATGAGTCAAATCTTTATTAGTAAATAGTGGGCATGTGAAGGTTAAAGATCAAGTACAGGGCTGGTGATGTAGCTCAGCTTTACAGCACCTGTCTGGCAAGTGTGAGTCCCTGAGTTCGATTCCCAATACAAAAGATCAAGTACAGTACTTAGAGCTCTGTACTTGAAGCCATCTGGTGGCAGAATATGGTAATTCAGAACACAAACATTGATCATATGGTGTAAATATCACACTTTATGTTCAAGATTAGCTAGTCTTAAGATAGTCCCTCAACTGCAAAATTATATTGTTTAAGCATTTTAGTTTTCCATATTTTGGGGAAGTGAATTAAATGGATTTTTTTTTCTCCTTTGTAATGCAGACTTTCTAAGGAATTGCCCTTCTAAAAGCTTTTTGGCCTTTTAGAGGCTATACTGTTCTGAAAACAGTCCAGAAAGTATTGTGGCCGAGCAAGGTGGCACATACTTGTAACCACAGCACTTAAAGAGTCTGAGGCAGAAGGATCACTGAGTTTGAGGCCAGCCTAGGCTACATAGCGAGACCCTGTCCCCAAAACCCCCAAAAAACAAGGTATTGTGGAACTACTTAACTTTATTTAATTTCCTTTAATAGTGATAGGGTGTTGGGTTGGTGATATTTACATATGGTCCCAGCTACATGAGAAGCTGAGGCAGAAAGATTGCATGAGCATACCAGTCTAGGTCACATAAGGCCTCATTGCCCCCAAAATTAGGGGATTCATACTTTAAGGCAACAATGACAAGCAGAAATTGAGAGGTGCTGGAGGTGAAAGGGAGAAAAAAACAGCTGAGAGGCTGTGGTTGAGCTGGCACTTCATCTGGAAAGGGCAGGCGTCCTGGTGCTCTGTGCCACAGACGTGAGTTTCCAGGGAGAAGAGCTTAATTACACTGGAACTTCTTGACACTGCCTTGCCTCGGTTCCATGAGGAAGTAGACTAAAGTGAGTGTACCTTTCCCTTTCTTGGTCTGGTGGGCATCTTTGAGGTTCTAGAGCATTGGCACATATGCCACAGCAGGCTGTTTGAATGCACTAAAAGATTTGCCATCCCTATTCTAGAGCCACAAACTCCTGGCCTATAGTAACTGAGTGGTCCCAGGGAGGGCAAACCCCTGACCAGTGATCATATCACCTGTATCACCTATGGTAACACTTCTGAGTCTGTCCAGTCCTGTGCCCCCCCCCCACCCCGCCCTCAGGGATCAAATGACCTTGCGCTTGCTAGTCAGGTGTGGCTCTGCTGAGTTATATCCCCTGCCCCAGCAGTTTTGTTTTTTTTCTAGTACTGGGAATTGAACTCAGGACCTTGCACTTGCCAGGCAGACACAGTGCCACTGAGCTACATCCCCAGTCCTTGCTGAGGAGTTTTGTGGTCCTGGCAGAGACTGCTGGTACCAATGCCTCATTCCTACAGGGTCCTGTAAGGTTCTCAGGTATGACTTTAGTTTCCTAGGTTAATTAGGGATCCACTGGCAAGTACAGGAACCCAATTTGAATTAGCTGAAGGAATAGTGGAACTTCTTAGCTACTTGGGAGAGTAGATCTCGCCTATGGGAGATTTGAACCAGGATCTCCCAACAGCACAGCTCCCCCCAACTTTGCTTCTAACTCTGATCGTCCCTTTGTACAAGCTGACTTAAGAGGCTGGCGCTCTGCACCTGGCAGCTGCAGGTCACCCAGGTGATGGCAGGTGTTAAGCTCTTCTCACAGCTCTGTAAGGCAGGAGCTTAAGAGTAAGGGGTAATTTTCACCAAAATGAGAGATTATGAGCAAACAAAATGGCCACTATATAAGTTCATAGGTAGATGCTTATTTCTTGTAAAGATACAGACCCGAAAGAGGTGAAAACACAAAACATTGAAATATTATACATCATACATTTTCTGTGCATTTTATTTTTTGTAGTGATGAGGATGGAACCCAGGGCTTCATCTGGCTAGGCAAGCACTTTTGCCCCTGCACCACACCCTCAGCTCTTTTAAAATGTGAATATTCTTTTTGTCCTCTTTATAATTTTGTTTTTATACCAATCTCTTTGGCACCTGTCTTGTCACCAGTTCAAACTGGGAAGGTTCACTTGAAAAATGGGCAACCCAAAGAAGAGATGCAGAGCTGTGAGAACATCTGATGGGCCCTTGAGCTGCTCAGCTCAGTTCACGTTATCTGGCCAGCCCATCTGTGCATACATTCTTGGCCATCCTTAGCTATGTGAGCTCCCATGACAGTCCAGCTAGATAGAGGTTCTACACAGTAATGGCTATATCCCACTAATGAGCTTTGTTATGTAAGTTATTTACATTGGCCAGCATCAAGTTTGGTTATATCAGTTACTTATGCTGGGACATGGGGAGATTTCGCCTGTGCAGGGATTTTATTGATTTAGGACTTCTGTCTTCCTAGAAATCACACACACAGGCTGACCCATAATGCAACCATCTTGAACTTTATTTTTTTCCCTACAGCACCTGCCAAAGCACTGAAGCACATAATGCTTAGAGAAAGTAGGAGTGCTGTGATTTTCTAAGCTCCTGCCCCTGACCACCAGGAGACAAAAGGACCACCAGGGCAATGTTGGAAAGGCCATGCTGGAGAATAAGTAGAATCCAAGGGCTTAGAACTTGGGTTAGAGCCAGAGCCCATGGGAGGTGGGCTCAGGGTAGGTGGGAGGGGCTCTGGCTTAAATTGCTCCTCTCAGAAGATCCAAAAGGTACTGATTTATCTCAGGTTTTCTTGGTTTGTTCATTCTTCTGCATGACTCACTCTGCCTTCAGCAGCCACCATAGTCCCTCCGGAGCTCCCTGAAGCTGTGCCTCAGTGCTAGCTCAGCACCACATGGATACATGTCCGTGGGCTACTCAGACTGACAGCTAAACCGAGTTCATTTCCTTTTGAGTGTGCTCCTTCTGCTCTGTGTCTCACCCA